AAAAAAAAAAAAAAAAAAAACCTATCTATCTACACACACAGAGTTACAAAGGGCGTCTGGTCTTAGTAAGATTGTGCTTTTTGCCTGCCAGTGAAGATATTTTTTTGTAACTGTTAGCTCTTTTGTTTTAATCACGACGCCGGCCCCACTAGCTTGGAGATCAAGGCGTAGTAATAATAGTTGTTGCTTTTGCAGCAGATCATTCAGTATTTATTTCCTCTTTTCTGTTTCTATTGTTTCATTGAGAGTGCTTTGTGGTTTCCTACCAGATTTCTGTTCCTTAACCGGCAATACCTGTGCATGGCCCTGAGCATTTCCTTTTCACTGCATTGTACACTTATTTGCATGTTTGTTTTTCTATTTTTCCTCAGAAATGGCTTTCAAAAGCTGGATAAGATCAAAGATTCCAACAGACAGAGTAAACAGTTGGAAGAGCTTACAGGGAAGATGAGAGAATGTAAAAGGTAGCACTTTTTATCTTCTCCCTGATTCCGTACTTGTATAGATGGAATTGCCCACCTTTAGTGATGCCACATTTGTTCTTTCAATTTCGAGAATTGTGTTTGATCCTTCAAAATTAAATCAGGAATTCAAACAATTAGAACGGTTTATGTCTAAGCTGAATAAACTTTTTTTTATAAAGGTCTCAAGATTAAAAAACTCAATACCGACTAAAAGACATTATAGTATTTATTTTGGTCCTGAATTTTGTCTGTTTTTTACGAGTTCTTATTTCTAGTTTACTAAGGTTATTAGAGTGCTTAACTTTATCAGAAATAACTGTGTTATTACTTGTGAATTCGAATAATTAGTTTCCTTGTTACAGTGATCGTTAATACTTTTACTTTCCAATTCTTCTTCAAGGTTAATTAAAGAGTTTGATCGTGAAATTAAAGATGAGGAGAGTAGAAATCCTCCTGAGATCAGCAAACAACTCAATGATGAGAAGCAATCAATGGTAAGTTGGAATCTCTAATTAAGAAAAGGGGTTTTGTCGGAATCCCATTTGGGCTTGAAGTGGTAAGCAACCCATGCACTCCAATGGTTGACTATCTTAGTTTATTCTATAACCACATGCTAATTTTGATTCATCTGTTTCCCTTTTTCTGTGCGCTGCGCTATGATCACTGTCGTTCTGAACATAAGCTTTGATCGAAGAGTGAGATTTGAAAATAATAAATAACCATGAAAACTCAGAGCACAATCTCAACGTACTGTAGTTACAAAAGAGTGCATTTACCTTGAAAAGGAGAAACAATTATCCATTTTCATTTAGTTAACACTGTTTACTTTTGGAAGGGACATTCTATGTAACTAAACTCTCATTTTAAGGTTACTGGATAAGCAATGAGTTCCTACTTCACATAAGTTTTTATCTATTGTTACACTTTTTACTGCAATTGAATTGAGACTTTGATGATTTGTGCACTTCGGCATTATAGTTTTGGTTTCATTTTCACTTTCCTCAATATATTTTTTTGAGTTAATACCCTAAAACCCCCTTAAACTCTCACGTTTTTGTCAGTTTCCTACTTAAACTATTCGGTGTCCCCAAAATCCCCCTGAACTATATTGTTCTTCATATTAAAACCCCCTCGTTGATGACATGGCATAACGTGTGTAAACACTCGATTGGGAGCGCGTGGCAGCTGAAAAAAGCCATCAAAATGGCTCACATGACAGAAAATAATGGCTAATTAGCCTAACCCTCTTTCACATTTATTTTTTTAATAAATATTCTCCTTATTTCAGTTATATGCACCTTTCTTCCTCATTTTTTTTACCATTCTTCCTTATTATTTTTACTTTTCTTCTTTATTTTTCACCTTCGTCTCATTTTTAAACCTTTTTTCTTCAATTCTCCGTATGAGTTTCCTTTGGAAAAATTTCTCCCTCTCTTGTTTCCTCTGAAATGATTTATTCTCTTTCTTGTTTTAGTCTCTTTCATGTCTTACACATATTGTTGAAAGAATACGAATTTAAATCTTCTTATTAAACCTAACACCTTGTAAAGAATAAAGTTGAATCTCTTGAACCTTCTTTATGTAATCTGGATTTAGAGAATGTAATTGTTGGCCAATTGATTATTTATTTGCGAAATTTTAATTGTGTAATCTTTTTTATTTAATATAAGATGCTTTTTAAGAAATGCAACACTATATGCCTTTATTTATATTTTTACTGTGCTGCAAAGTGAATATAAATAAGGACTTATTCAATTGTAGTTTAGCATTAAGCACAATCACAATTAAATCTAAAATTAACATAGTACATTAGATATTATTTTGGTCAAAACTCCTAAAATTAATCAACCATCCGAGAGTAATACATCATGAGTAAACAATATAAAAACTTTGTACAAACCATAAGCTAATATAGTTAGACAGACACACCTTTAAAAGTCCAACATGTGGTTTTAATATATAGGGGAATATAGTTCAGGGGGGTTTTGGGGACACCAGATAGTTTAAGTAGGTAACTGACAAAAACGTGATAGTTTAGGCGGGTTTTAGGTTGAGTTAAATAGCCACGTGTAGTGCTACATGGCACGTTTTTTAGATAATTAGGAGCGTGTACTAGACGCGCCTCTAAGAATGCAATGAGGGTTTTTTAATATGAAGGGCAATATAGTTCAGGTGGGTTTTTGGGGACACCGAATAGTTTAAGTAGGAAACTGACAAAATCATGGTAGTTTAGGGGGATTTTAGGGTATTAACTCTTTTTTTTTTTTGCTTCCAAGTGTACTATCAAGCTGTCTGTGAATCCACATAAAACTTAAGCCACCAATCCTTCGGCACATCCTTCAAAACCAGCATGTTTTTGTCTTTTGGTGTGTTTCTCTTGTAAATCACAAGCGGCACTTTCCACTTTGGATCTCCATAAAAAAGGTTGTGACGAAGGGATCAAGATATGTGGGTGCTAATATCAATTTCGGGCATTGTCTTACCGGAGCCCAACTTGTTTGGGACTGAGGCGTAGTAATAGTAGTAGTAGATTAGTAGTCTTTGCCAAACTAACATTTTGGTTTGGTCCATTCACAGGATTAATATTATGCATATCACTTCTATGGAATACTGTTCTAAATTTGCTTAATTTTGCAGATCAAAGAGCTAAACTCATATGTGGCCTTGAGAAAAACGTGAGTTAATTTCTCCAATTTTTCTTTTTCCACTCTGGTTTCTGCTCCCAGAAAAGTTTCATCTCTTTTTATCTTAACTCGGGTGCTGTATCACGTAGAACTTGATTGTGTGGAATGTTTGGAGGATGGATATGTACTTAGCTGTTAATGAATTTTTGGATTTGCATGGCTTGGTTTGTGAATTATATAATGTGTATACACAGAGACCGACTCAAGGATGCAATCCCAGTATACATCAATAGGCTGTTACTTGTCAATAAAGTTACTCTAAAAAACTGATTGACATGGTTTGTCATTCAAAGATCAAACCTTCTAATTCTCGGGTTGGTTTTTGACATCAGTTGGATTGACTTCTTCAGAAGAAAATTTCTTGCATTTGGAAACTATACAAAAGTAGTACAGACCCACATTTTTAAGTCAAAGTTTTTGAAAAGGAATTTTTCTTTTAAAAGTTCAAGAAAATTGTGGCCAATGAAAAGTTATTTGAGTCGCAAGAAAAGAATTCTTAAAAACCTGATGCTGCTCCTTCATTATCTAATTATTAATTTATTATTTTAGGTTCTTTGATACAGTTAACAGATGTTTTCTGTTACCTCTCTTATTTCTGTTGCTGCTACGCAGGTATATGAGCAGTCTTGGCAATAAGAGGGTTGAACTATTTGACATGGGAGGTGCAAGTGAACCAACAGCAGAGGAAAATGTCCAAATGGCATCAGGTTGGAGCAATAACCCATTAGTACGGCTAAATTTTCTACAAAGGTTCAAAAGGGAAAATCATTAGATTTTACTTTTAATCAAGAATTCACAAACCACAAAATCTGAAATGCACAAACTCAGGACACATGAGGCAAGGTGGTCAGTATTTTCAAATTCCATCTAGGTGTGATTGTTTTGGAATCAGAACTGAAGATGGATTTATAACTAGACTCCTGTTGTTTTTGTTTTCCCCTCTATCCGATTCTTGGTATATTGGGGTCTAAAAAGCTTGATGGAAGAGTTGGCTGCCATTGATTCGTGGAATGGGAATAGACTTTTATACGAAAGGAAAAAAGAGAGGAGGAAACTGGGTGTGATAGCATGTCTGAACAAAACACCACCTACTCATGCACGACTCTTCAGCATGTATCCATGTTTAGATTCCGAAATGAGAACCATGATTCACAACGTCAACTTGTTTGCATAGCTTTTTGTTTTACTATATGTTACAGTTTTTGCTTGTGAAACTGCTGCATTTCCCTTTGTTTTAAGAGAAATCTTAACTGTCAAAACAAGATTGACTGAAGGGAGAGGTCTAGGGAGCATATTTATAAGGTTCTGACTTTGTTTAGCTTCTCTTTTCCAATTATTCGGACTTTGATGGAAGCATTTCTCTGAAGTAATTTTTGCTTAGCTTTCCATTAATAGATCTTAATATGCATGGCTTTATACTGTATTAGTCCCCCTAAAAAAGAGGCATTAGTGTTTATGTGCCCCCCTCCCCCCAAAGCGCGCTGATCTGCGCGACTACTAGTGATTCCAACTTCACGTTCTTGAGTTGTAGAGAACAATCCGAACTGAGACAATCACTTTGGATTCATTCACCTACAGCCCTCCTTCCCTGTTTAATTGCCACTCTAGCACGTGCATAGCCCAGCCCATGAGGGCCATTGCCGATTTGGCGTCCTCTCTGCCTTTCCTCCTGTATATCGCTGGCAGTCCTTCACGAATGCGGCACACACCTATTAAACAACCTTATGAAGCTATGAGGAATTAAAATATTACCTTTTGCCTTTTGTGATTGCAAAAAGACCTGCTGCACTTTCTTGCCACCATCTTTTTTTACCAGCACGGCAACGATAAAATGTGACTAATTACCCCTACTACTTTAGGAGTCATTATTTCAATTATGTGTCACAGCCTGTTCTATTTTGTAATGGTGCTGATAAGCTTTCCGTCTTATATCTTGTCTGTTCCGCATCTGTGTGAAGATGAGCAGAAAATCATCCGTGTTCATGTGTCAGTTGTGTTTATACTAGCTGTGCATATCCAATTTGACCTAGCAATAGTTGGATGCATCACTTGACTGGTTTATATCTTAATGTATCGTTATGAGAATGCATCAAGCAACTTGTGGACCCATTTTTCTGGTCTTCTCATTCATTTTAATTTTCTTGCAGCAATGTCAAATCAGGAGCTTATCAGTGCTGGAAATAAGACAATGGATGAAACTGATCAAGCCATTGAGCGGTCCAAACAGGTTCATAGTTCATTTTGACGCTGTTTCAAGATATCTACCATCCGTATTTTAAGCTTGTTTCGGGATATCTACCATCCGTATTTTAAAGTTATTTCTAATTTGTAGGTTGTTCACCAAACACTTGAAGTGGGAACACAAACCGCTACTACCTTGAAAGGCCAAGTGAGTATCATCATAATTGTTCATCTCCTTTGTTTTGTTGGTTTTAGAACATCCGTATAAATATTGGTAGTCTCTTTGTTATGTAGACTGATCAAATGGGTCGTGTTGTCAATGAGCTTGACACAATTCAGTTCTCCATTAAAAAGGCATCCCAGCTTGTCAAGGAAATTGGACGGCAGGTGTGTTTGTAAAGTCCCCCATATTTATGCCATAAACTGTTTGTGTTCTTTCTTTACCATAAACTGTTTGTGTTCTTTCTTTCTCTTTGTAGATTAATTAATCTAGCTCCCAACTTTTTCAGGTTGCCACGGATAAATGCATCATGCTTTTCCTCTTCCTCATTGTCTGTGGTGTAATTGCCATAATTGTTGTGAAGGTAGTTTCTCATGCCATGGGTTAGTTTAAGCAAATAAATATATTGTTGATATCCTTGCTTAGTTCAACTCAAGACCACATATTGCTGTTCTGCCACTTATCACCCACCCAAAAAAAAGAGTTGCAGTTCTGCTTAAAATTGTAGATGTGTAGGTCATGAAATTTCGGAAAAAGGCTTTCCATTTTTTGAGATTGTTATAGACGCGGTTTTGTTATATGTTATTACTATGCTTTAGTGTCTACCGTCTGCGTGGATGCATAAAAGAGCTCATATTTTTTCTATGCAAGTGCTGACTGTAGGTCGGAAAAAAGGTGTTGATTGTAGTTGGTGACATCTTCGGGCTCTCACTATTTTTAGCCTATTTCTGCATTCTACGTCTGCAATCTGTTAAGTTGTTCACCAGACTATCTGCTAAATGTTCTGTTTAACAGCTTCTTTAATTATGCTTTCAGGTTGTGAATCCCCACAACAAAGACATAAGGGATATCCCTGGACTGGCTCCTCCAGCGCCTTCACGGAGATTGCTATATCTAAAGCCTGGACAAGATTTCGTGTAAATCTGTAAGGACGGATCTATCCAATTTTCTATATGGTGCCACTGTAAAGAAGTATCAGAGGAATGCTATTCATGGAGAGCTGTTTGTTTACTGTGATCTCCTTGCCTGAGTTGTGCATACCGTATTTGTTCTGTTGTGCATTTCTTTTTCTTTTGTTTCCTTTTTTCTATTATGTAAATCATACACGATATTTGTCTTGTATTCACCTTCTTTTCCATTTTATGGTGCATTGGATTCATTCTGTAAACTCTTTGAGTGTAGAAGAGTTGCAAGGAGACGTAGAAAACAACTACTATACTCATTTATGCTATTTCTTCATTTATGTATGTCCAACACTGCTGTTTTGAGGTCGATTTAGATGACCACGTGAATGAGTTTCGTTTATTTCTTTATCTTTGAAGTGGTAAATCACTCTTCGGGTGCCAATGGTGCCCCCCCCCCCCCCC